ATTACAAGACAATACAAGGACAAGCGAAGGATGTCGTCATCAACATACCAGCCCCGGACGATTGGGAAATGATAAAATCAACGCTAAAGCTACGCTACAGACCAGACACGGAGCCGCACCAGATCTACCAACGGATCTGTCATTTGAAAGTGAATACGGTGAGCGAGCTGGCCATCGAGCTACAAAATGTTAAATATAAGACAGATGAATTAATTGTATATCATAAGCATGATAATTTTATAGATTTAAGCAATGTAGAAAGTCTTTTAGTAAATACCGCAAAGAAGATGACACAGGGTACCTTATTAGACAAAATCTATGAAGAAAAAGAATTAGGGAACATCATGAGAATTATGACAAGCAGGAGGTTTGAAAATAGCTGTATCAGGTATCAATATAGGAAAAACCGAGTGAATCAGACTCCAATCGAAAATAATCAATCAGGTAGACGCAATCAGAACCAAGCAAATAATAACTATAACTACAATAGGAATAATGTTCCGCCACAAAATAATAATTACGGTCAACAGAACCAGTTTAATCAAAACAATAGGCCTCAGAGATATCAAGAGACACCAAGGCAGCAAAATCCTTTCAAGGGAAATCAATCAGGACAAAGTAGACAGACTAACAATTACTATCAAGGCAATAATAATCAACAAACGCAAAGATCAGGTTCCGGACAGAGTAGAAATTTCAGATCAAATGAGGTAGTACCAATGGAAATAGACAACGTAGAAGCACATAACAACAGATTCGAAGACAATCAATACGGACGAACTGTTTCTAACTACGAACAAAACCAATACTCGAACGATGACTACGAACAAAACAGACCTCACAATGGTGAAGCAGAAGTGAACCATGCAATTTTTTTTTATGAAGCAGCCTCGGAACACTTACCAATAATAAAAATAACAATAGACAATAGGGCTTACTTAGCTTTGATAGATACAGGAGCAACTTTAAGTCTAGCAAACGAACACCTTGATTCTTTCAAACGAATAAAACTTAACGACCCCATACCATATAGCACCATAACAGGCAGAGAAGTAATTAACTATGAGATACATACCACAGCCCCAAGGGAGTTTAATTTACCTAGAAATGCTAGAATCAGATGGAAGGTAGCACCATTGAAAGGCAGAAAATATAATTTCATAATAGGTATAGATCTATCAAACTATTTGAACACTTTTATCAATTTAGAACGAAAGATAATAACACTTAACCAAAAAGAAAGCTATTTTATCAATAATCCGTACGTATATGAAAATATAAGTACATTAGAACAGACAGACACGACGTTCGAAAATTTACGACTGGGACATCTAAATACGGAAGAAAGAAAAGAAATACAAACAAGTAAGAAAGCTCCAGTCGAGACTGCTCGACTAGGAGATACCCTGAACCCTCCAAGCTGATATTCAAATCATTCTGCACTTCTTTTATGCACACATACATACACATGCTTCCACACGCACGCATAAGCCTGCGCTCTGCTAACTGCGCAGTAAGCAGCGACTGCGCTTGGGCTGCGCTGCAGTGTGGGCAATATTATGAGAATTTATTTGTTGAATAATTTCTTTTGTAGACATACGATCTTAATGAAACTTTNTATATAATGTACTTTTATCTTAAGACATTTTTTGATTCTTATGATTCGATCATTTAATAGAGAGCATTCAACGAAGTAACATCGAACATTTATTTACAAAATTAAATTTCAAAATCACTTCAGAAGTATATAGCCCCAGGGAAAAAAAAGGTCATGGACTTTTATTTAATCGACAACAAACAATTTCCTTCAAAAGCCGTGATTGGCTCGAAACCAAAAGAGCTATGATACAAATTTTCAATGACATGGGAAAACCCACAGAAATTAAAGCAGACAAAGATTCATCGTTTATATGCGCAGCCCTTCAAAACTGGCTAAAGTCTGAAAAAGTACACATTAGTATACCACTAGTAAAAATGGCATTTCCGACATAGACAGATTTCACCGAACGATCAATGAAAAATTAGGAATTATTAGCACAGAATCGGACATAGAAAACAAACAAACTAAATTTGCAGCTATTCTATACATTTAAAATTACAAGAAAAACACTTGACAGCGAACAGAACTCCCGCAGACATATTTATTTACGCAGGCACGCCTCAATATGAAACACAAGCTAATAAATCGAACAAAATCTTAAAACTCTGTTTTCTGTTTTTAATTGATTAAATACAGACTACACACACGCCCCACTAGTTAAAACTAAAACTACTACACCATTTAAGAAAGCAGGCCAAATAACGCAAACTGACGAACAAGACTAATAGAGGAATACAAATCCAAATTCGAAAGAAAAAATAAGACTAACGAAAGTAAATATAACACCTAATTTCAGAAATCACCATGTTAATACTCTTACTTTTATCAATGACATCCCCTACTTTTAACCAAAGTATCGAAATCAACCCAATAAAAGCACCAAACGGTTACCTTATTTTCAAGAAAGGAACAATGGACCTCCCATCTGGCTACGAATACCACTATCTAACAGTAAACCTAACAAACATACAAACCACATACGACAACTTACTAAAACAAGCAGAATCATTCAAAAACATTTCTCCCATAGAATACTTAATGGAAAAATTGAATCGTCAAATACGGAATACAAATTATTAAGAGAAACAAACGAGGTTTAATAAACGCAATAGGCACAGTAAATAAATATCTTTTTGGCACTTTAGATCAAAATGACCAGAGGGCTCATAAATACGACGAGGCAAGAATGACAACGGACAACACCCAAATGTCTCAGGCGGATTTATTGGAACAACTGGCCATCAGGGAGCGCCAACTGGAGCAATTACAACAAGCTTACGTACAACTCCAGGCTAACAATGGCAATACAGCGCAAAAAGAAAGGCTGTTCAAAAATATTAGCCATCTGGCGACGTTTACCGGCACTGGGAACATAACCATTAACTCATTCTCCAGCAGTGTGGAACACTTGCTAGGGAGTATAGTTGACCCCGAACTCAAGAAGGAAGCGACCAGATCAATATACTACAAGACTATTCAAGGACAAGCGAAGGATATCGTGATCAATATACCAGCCCCGGACGATTTGGAGATGATAAAAGCAACACTTAAGCTACGCTATAGACCAGACACGGAACCGCACCAAATCTACCAAAGGATCTGTCATCTGAAAGTGAATATGAGGACGTTACTAATGGCAATACTAATACTGACGACGATGACAACAGTTAACAGAACGCGTGCTTATAAGTGCATGTGTATGTATGTGTGCATAAAAGAAGTCCAGAATGATTAGAATATCAGCTTGGAGGGTTCAGGGTATTTAATTTGCATAAGAGCATAAAAGCTCAACAAGTCCAAAGTCCAATTAACAAAAGCTTGAAGCCAGGCCTACAAAACTCCAACATAATTTAGCATAGGCAGTTCAGTTTCAGTTCAGTTCAGTCCAGTTGCATTCACAAATTATTCTTGATAAGCAAATCAATTGTACTCCGTTGTGAAAAACGCCACGATCGCCTTTATCCCTCAACATAAACAAATCGCCTAAGCGTCCACTTAGAAACAAATCGTCCCAGCGTCCATTTAGAAACAAATCGTCCCAGCGTCCGCTTAGAAACTGTCATCCCATCGTCCACTTATATAAACAAGTCGCACTCCAACGCATCGAACCCTTCTCGTGGGAACTGCATATTCAGCATATTTGGGAGTCACCAATCAGGAGCCATTAGGCCACTCACTTCACCAAACTCACCACACCATCGATATACATTTCTAGCTATATAAGACAAGCAAACTCTTACATGGCGTAAGAATTATTGTATATTATTATATAAGTTTTTTTTATACCCTGAACCCATTTTCAATGGGAAATCAGGGTATAATGGTTTTGTTGAAATGTATGTAACAGGGAGAAGGAGGCGTGGCAGACCCCACAAAGTATATATATTCTTGATCAGGGCGACGAGCTGAGTTGATTTGGCCCTGTCCGTCTGTCTGTCCGTCTGTCCGTCTGTCCGTCTGTCCGTCCGTC